AATTTTCAAATACCAATATGAGGCATGACAACAGCAGGGAATGCAAATACAGAAAAGGGGAAAAAGGAAGAGTCAATCATTTGCATTGTGTTAAAGAGAACAGAAAGTTGTTCTCAATTAGAGGAACTGAAGACACGCTGCTGAAGGATTATGAAACTGAAGGCAATTACATTTTCTTTGATATCCATTAGCAATTACCCTAAATTTTAAAGTTCATCAGTGTCATATCAACAAATTCCTTCTGGATATTTTTCTAGGTCTTCTACTTGAGTAGATTTCTTCCCTCAATGTCTAAGTAAATGATTTTAATTGTGGCCGAGATCTGGGTCTGGAATGTTAATTCTAACTGATGAGATGCTATACATACACACAGAAATTAAAACACACCAAACTGCATGCTAATTATTCGTTTTCATCCGCAACAATGATGCTATGTATGTTATTGTTTCACATCAGTGCAAACATGTTGAAAAGCAGTAACATCGTTTTGTGACATTAAGGTTTCAAAAGAGATGTCAAAAACAAGAGAAGCCATAACAAGCTTTCTATTTCAAAGTTGATTCAAAGTGTTTCTTTGGCAACTACAACTTTTGTTTTCATGCTAAGCATCCAAAAGTTGGACTACATTCACAAACCAGATTTGGCTTCAGTCTCCTCTGTTGTTTCCCCAGTGTCTGAAAGCATGGGATATGAAAGTGTATGGCCAACCTTCCACATTTTACAGCTTTGGTTCAAGTGGAGCTATTGCATAAACACAGGCTTATGCAGTACATATCTGAAAACATAGTATGTATTTATTTCTGTGTAATTTAGGTCATCTTCCCTAAACAATTTTGAATGATCCACACATATTAACCAGAGCTTCTTTGTGATTATATTAAAAACACAGTATGAGAATCTGCAATTGTAAAGGATGAAATTTGGGAGGATGGAGATGAGTTACTATAATAAGCCAAGTGTTCATACATCAGCATTTTCTCGTGATTCATAGCAGCACAGGGAATTAGAAGTCCTGTTCTCCAGTTAGCTATCACCCAGTAGGTACAATCAGATCTTGTATTTGTTGCTAATCCTTACAATTGCTGCTAATAAATAAGCTCATCAAAGCATGAATTTCCACAAAGAAAACAAAGTATCCCAAGTTCTAGAGTTGAACAACTCCAGATCCACTTGAATCCAGTAACTTGTTTACAACAAGTATCAGCAACAAAATTCCCAAGACCTGTGTACCAATATTGCCATCTGCTGCTCATTCCAGGTTCAAATGTCACCATTTCAAGTTGCATAACTACAGACACTTCCTCTGGGAAGCAGACTCATGAGTCTTGGATAGTTGTCAACTCTCAGCACAATTAAAAAGTAATTGCTCTCCTGGGGTCACAGGGGAAAGGCAATGGGCCAACTGCTATCACTGCGTAATTATCGGGTGATAATCACAGAATTTCACATACTGGGAAATGTACAGATCTATAGATTCTTTGATTGTTTTTCTCTCATCTGTGCTCCAGCATTTAAAACACAGCTTAGCATATAAGGTTCGTCCAATATATATTGACTAAATAAGTGAATAACCAAAGAAGGATTACTGTTTTTTTTTTAATCAATTCACACTATTTAGTTAATAACTTCAATAAAAAGAATTCATGTTTATTTTTCCTCTAGGAAACAGTAATATCCCTATATCCGGCTTATATAGACAGAAAGGAATAAAAATGGACCAAGCAGTATTTTCTAGATGCGTGAGTCAGAATCATAGCATGAGTTAGCATGAGTATCCATGATAGAGTAAACCTTCTGGCAACAGCTTATTCTGCAGAACAGTGTTGATATCCACTCCTCTTTACTCTACTAAACTTCAACAAAGTTTAAAAAAAGTGATATATTCTATTCTTTTCTAACCTTTCAGCTATCTCATTCATGTCACCCATGACACTAATATTTAACCTGTTTCTTCACATTAACATTTAACACACAAATTCTCCCTTAATACCCCCCTTTTAAACATGAAGGTAACAATATGGAAAACATTAGTATTATCCACTTTCCTGTAGCCCTTGAACCTTCTTACCCTAATTAACTATGTAAAGAATGTCAAAATAAAATTTATTAATAAGAAAAAAAAAAGCATATTAGGTTAGCTTCAGCAAGTTTAGGAAAAGAGGTTGGTTATCAAAAAGGATATTTTTTTTAGGAGTAGAATGAGTTTGAAGGAAAATATCTTTAGAAAAAGTACTCAAGTCCTTCCCCTCTGCCACCTGACACACAATGCTATCATCTAGATCTTCATGGTTTCTTGCATTCAGACACATCTTACTGGTCGCCAAGAAGGCATAATCCCACCCACTCTTTATCTTTGCCATTTGTCAGTGTTGAATCTGCTGCTAGCAAGCTTCAGATTGAAGAAATGTTTTCCTCTATGACAAATAGCAAGCTTTGCTTACTACTTTGTATAAAAAAGAGACTCCCCAAGTTTAGGGCTCCTTTTCCAGATATCTCCTGCTGCAGGTACAAATATTCATTTTGGCCCATCAGCATCACCCCCCAAAAAACTGGAATGCCATGAGAACACTCAGCTACTATGCTTGCTGAAATCAAGTCTCTAAATTCCCAAGTGATGTGACTTATGTCAGCATGCATAAAACTGTAATAATTAATATGTCAGCTTGAAAGCAGAGTAAATCTCTAACCCCTCACAATTGTAGAGAGCATGCTTAACCTAAGAATGGGCACACTTGCAATTAGGAAATTGCCAACAAAGACTCCAGCATGTAGAAGACAAATTATCAAATATATGTGAAAAAATATCCCTTTCACTAAACAGAATGTTCAGATAGATCAGAAAAATATTCAAAAGGACTTGAAATTATATATTATTAAAGTCAAGTCCTTTGTTTAAATTTGCATTATTTCTGAAAGTTATACCAATGATTGGTAAAACAGTAAGATTTTTGTTAAATTTGGAGTTTCTAAAATATAAATCAAAAAGAAAAATGCCATTTGCAAGTCATGAGATATTTTCTTCTTTCATTTTAAAGGATTTACTTGCTATATAATTTCATGATTTATTACTTCTTAATAATATGGTGAATAATTCATTTTGAGTCATGATTAAGCATCCACTTTCCACACTCCAGATTTCTGTTTCTAATGAGGTAAAAATGTCCATTTGCTTTCACATTACATTTTTAAAATTTGGAGTTGGAAATTATTTCCTTAAGCTTTAAAAAGGAAGAGAGAATTCCACAACCTTCTGAGTGCCATGTGGCCATAAACACCATAGGGTGTCTACATCCCAGCTGGTTTCAAATTTGGATCATCACCATGTCATGGCATTCAACGATGAAACACAGGAACTGGAAATCAGAAGTCTTTGAAGTTAAGAAGCATGGGTTCTCTTCTCCAGAGTGGACCTGATTTTATAATTGCATGAGTTTACAAAGTAGCACTTTGTACTGTCTCTCATGACAGTTATTCCTAAGGTTCTAGGAAGAAAAATCTGCTTTACAAAGTACCAAATAATGAGAACAGAAAAAGTAAATGAGTGAGGAAAAGATTCTGTATTTTGCAAAGCTGCATACCATAAAGCTTGTACAAGAAATCATAGCACTGTCTTCTATAGTGTTTATTCTTAGAAATAAAATTAATTGACATGCAGAGGACCTACTTATTTTGTAGAATGAACATGCAATGCAAATTAATGAGCCTCTTATTAAAAAATAATACCACTAAAGGGAAACTTAACTAGCACTTAACAGGATCTACTTAGCTCAATAGTTTCAGTAACAGCTCTATGTCTGCTTTCAGATACAATACAGTACGCATCTCTACTTCCAAACATGGACTCCAACTGCAACTGTTTACTACATCTTGACAATAGGATGCTGGACTCTCTGCCACTGTTCATGCCCATATTGATGGATATATGACTGAGTATGAAGAACTATCTTATAGGGCTGATATAGGGGAACTCAGTGAGGGGGGAGAGAATTGGGGCAGGGATAAGGGAAATCCCACAATCTATGGAACTGTATCATAAAATGATAATAATAAAAAGAAGTAAAATAAAAAGCTATCTCAAACATGTAATAATTAGATAATATTTAATAGTTTTATGATAATTCTAGAACCTGCATTTTTGTGACCTTTGTAAAAGTTTTTTTATTAGTAAAAAGTTCAATTTAGTCACTGCTTTGATGTAGACCAGAACATTGTGCTTAGAGCAATGATGTTGTGAAATTAGAACAAAATGTACTGAGCTTTCAGGAGTTCCTCATTCATTGCCTGCCACATTGTCCTTTTGAAGAAACATTAGCAAAAGTTAAGATATTAAACCATTCCTGTAAGACTAACTCAGGGAATATTTTATATTGAGAAAGGCAGAAAACAATTTCAAACCCCACCAGCAGCTTTACATACTGAGTCCTCCTCAAGTGATGTGTATAGGTGAACATTATCAGTCAAAAAGGCTGCCTGTTATAATAAATATTTAATAAGTCAACCAGAGGAACCAGAATACTTCTCCATCTGAAGAAACCCTAGCAACCGTTCACAGCAAGGTTTGCTTTTGACTTAAAAAACGCAAGACCCAGGTACAGTCCTCAGGCCAAGGAAGGTTTGCAGCCTTATGTTCTGCACAGCGAAGACAACACTCACATGTGTTTACTGAGAAAAGGCCTTTCTAACCTGCACATCTTGTTATAACTCTTCTTCCGTGAGAAACATCACAGAATGGGGACAGAGTGGCCTGCACAAACAGACCAAGGGCATTTCCAAGATAAAACCATCATGAGAGTAAGCAATTTTATACAAAGCAAAGCATGGAATCTTAATTTTGAGAACCAAATTGTGGCCATAGCAGGGATATACTTCTAAAATATTTTGCTGCAGCCAATTTTGAAATTCTGCATGGATTTTGTAATTTGTTGCCAGCCGGCTGAAGTAATGGGTCCTTTAGTGGTGTACCTGATTATCTAAAGTTATAAATATGATCTTACACTCACCTTGTTAACACTATTAAAAAACTCATTTGCCTTTTGTAACCAGGTTTTCCTCTCTGCCAGGAGCCGACCAAATTCTTCTTGAAGCCGATTCAGTTTCTGATTGGAGAGCTGTACATGTGCATTCTCCACGTGGTCTTTTGACAGCAGAATCCCCAGGGCCTCACGCTCCAGCTTCTCCACAGCCAGATTCCATTCCTGGGAGAGATCACTCTTGTTAGTTCACCTCACACATGCCCAGCTTACAGATGGAATGTTCATGACTTCTCGGAATTCCCACATTGAAATCTAATTCCCAATGTGATGCTACTAGAGAGAGGATCTTTGGGAAGTTGATGGAGTCTTGTTGGTGTAGCCCTTAAAAATGGAATTCACACCCTTCTAAAGAACTTCCCTCATACGGTGGAGGATACCATGTGAGGACCTAACAAAAAGTCAACCCGGAAGAGGTTCCTCACCTTACAGAACCCGACCCTGGCACCCTCGTCTTAGGCTTCTGCATCCAGAGCAGGAGTCCCTATTGTTCATCCACCTAATTGATGCTTACTGTAGTATAGCAGCTTGAACCAACCTTCTTTCCTTTATAATCTCTCAGAGGATTAAGAAAACAGTCACATACGGACATCAGAAATCTGTCATATCTTTTAAATGTTCTTTGTCTCACGATTAACTTTTTAAAAAAAGATTAATTTATTTTTATTACAAAGTCAGATATACAGAGAGACAGAGAGGAAGATCTTCCATCCAATGATTCACTCTCCAAGTGACCACAACGGCCGGTGCTGTGCCGATCCAAAGCCGGGAACCAGGAACCTCTTCTGGGTCTCCCACAGGGGTGCAGGGTCCCAAAGCCTTGGGCCATCCTCGACTGCTTTCCCAGGCCACAAACAGGGAGCTGGATGGAAAGTGGAGCTGCCGGGATTAGAACCGGCGCCCATATGGGATCCCAGTGCCTTCAAGGCAAGGACTTTAGCCACTAGACCATGCCGCTGGGCCCAGTCTGTCATATTTTCAAACATCATAGTAATAAATGCTACATGATAGGTTTTATTACAACTATAGGTACCACAGTATAGACGCAAAGAAAGCAAGACCCAGAAAAGTATAAAGGGGAGAGATGGGTACAGTAGAAAGAGGTGGGGGTGATGATTGCTGGAGCGCTCAGCTGTGATGGATGCACATCACTTCCATTCCTGTTAACTTTATAAAACTCATGCCCAGGGCCCAGTGTGGTGCCTAGTGGCTAAAATCCCCATGTTGAACATGCCAGGACCCCATATGGGCTCCGGTTCTAATACTGGCAGCCCCACTTCCCATTCAGCTTTCTGCTTGTGACCTGGGAAACCAGTCGAAGATGGCCCAAGGCCTTGGGACCCTGTACCCACATGGGAGACCTAGAGGAGGCTCGAGGTTCCTGGGTGCTGGTGTTGGATCAGCGTAACACTGGCTGTTGGCAGTTACTTGGGGAGTGAATCATCGGATGGCTGATCTTCCTCTCTGTCTCTCCTCCTTTCTGTATATCTGCCTTTCCAATAATAATAAATAAATATTTATAAAAAAATTCATGCCAATACAGTCAATAACACTTTAAAACCTCCAACTCAACTCAGCCCATTTCTATCTGTATATTTATTAAAAACATTTTACCAATGATTGAGTCTCACTGTCAAGGTGAGTAAATACATTTAAGAAAGAAAATCCCATATCTATGATTGTTGCTATTGTGTCTGCCTGAACTAAGATGTGTAATTCATCATGCATTAGCAGTTGTTTGTTTGTTTGATTGTTTTAAAGATTTATTTTATTTTTATTGGAAAGGCAGATATACAGAGAGGAGAGACAGAGAGGAAGATCTTCCTTCCGATGATTCATTCCCCAAGTGAGCGCAACGGCCAGTGAGCGCAACGGCCAGTGAGCGCAACGGCCAATGCTATGCCAGTCCAAAGCCAGGAGCCTCTTCCAGGTCTCCCACGTGGGTGCAGGGTCCCAAAGCTCTGGCCGTCCTTGACTGCTTTCCCGGGCCACAGGCAGGGAGCTGGGTGGGAAGCGGGGCTGCCGGGATTAGAACCGGCGCCCATATGGGATCCCGGGCGTGCAAGGCGAGGACCTAACCACTGCGCCACCGTGCCGGGCCCAACAGTTGTTTCTTGTTGCAGAATTTCCTCTACCTGATCTCTCTCTGCCTCACCCACCATGACACACACTTCTGAGAAATAAGTTTTGCCCTTTCTATTAAATGAGGATGGAATATGACAAACAGAAAAGAAAATCAGAATAATTAGTATAAACCAAACATATTATTCCAGTAAGGGAAAGAGAAATTTCTTGCAGAAGAAACAGAGTTGGATGCAGCTCTATGAGAGAAATACCATCTCTCGTGTGCTCATCCTGTAGATGCCCGGGTGTGCCTCTCAGTCTAGACCGAGTGGGAAGCATAAGCTATTTGCTAAAGCATGGAAGTTTGGCACCACATTTCAGGAAGCTCAGTCTGACTGTATTCCAGCTTGTACCCCCAGTGCAAGATCTCTCACTACTAATTTACCTTTCGTGTGCACCATATAAAACAAGCATAACTTTAGAGCAATTTACCAGTATTGTTTGCACTTATTCCTTTCACAACACATACTAAATAGTGCAAAGCTGGCTCCATACTAGATAGAAATGGGGGATATAAGGATTAAAAGCTATTATTTCCTTCAACAGTACATAGCCTGCTCTTATCTAACTTCATTACAATATCACATATATTAACACCTTCCAGTTCTATAAATATACATATTATGGTAATATTTTAAACAATTAACAGATAATAAAGGTACCAATTGTACCTTTTATTTTGTGGAGTCTATAGTACTTATTAAAATAACTAGACAACAGAAAATATTTCAAGAATGAATATTAGAGTAAGGGATCAGAATTTTTTGAAGCATCTATTAAAAATTATTCTTGTTAATAATAAGAAAAAAATCAATGTCATTTTTCTGGTTTTCAATTTTTTATATTTTTATAATTTTATTTATTTGTTGATTTACTTTTTTATTATTGAAAAGGGAGATTTACAGACAGATGGGGAGACAGACAGACAGAAAGATTTTCCATCTGCTGGTTACTACCCAAGTGACCATAGCATCTGGAGTGCAGCTGATCTAAAGCTAGGAGCTAGGAGCCAGGAGCTTCTTCTGAATCTCCCATACAGGTGCACAGCCTCAAGGCTTTGGGCCATCCTCTACTGCTTCCCCAGGCCACTAGCAGGGGGCTGGATGGGAAGTGGAACAGCAGGAACACAAACCAGCACTCACATGGGCTCCAGGCAGATGCAAACTGGAAATTTAGCTACTAGGCTATTGCACCAGGCCCATTTTATCCTTTTTTTTTTTGGTTGTTTTTACATATGCTCCAAAGAATATCTTACTCAAAATTGCATATCCAAAAAGTGGCAAAACCATATCTGGTTCAAACTCCTGTATATAAAGCAAGGAACTGAGAACAGATGGATTCTATTTTCCAAAATCCTCAATGAGAGCAACAACAATGCTTTAAGGTAAGAAAATGAACTACAGAAGTTCTCAATATGCCTCATTTTCCAAAGAGCTATTGCTTCCCCACCACAGGAAAATTAATACGGGCCACGATACTCTTTTATAAAGTACATAAACCCATTTTATAGCCACCCAACCCTTAGCCCTGTCTCCCCAACCACACACAAACACACACTTAAAAAATCATTCCTTTAATCTATTGGAAATGAATAAATATTTTTGTAGTAGTGAGAACAATTTCTGTCATACCCAGTAGCCGCTCACTAAATATTAGCACTCTTTTCTTTCCATCAATTTGTCATGATTCATGAAAACCTCAATTTACTCTTTATTTATGGATATTTTCTTTTCCCAATTTTACAATAATGATAGTAGGGTGTTTTTCCATACTATTGTTTGTCAGTCTTGTGCATTGATAAGCAGTCTGAGATAAAATAATGTATCTTTTTTATTGTGGTGTTTCCCAACAAGTTTCATAGGTTGTGCCAAAACTCTCCCAGAGGGGAATGTGGAGTGGAACATTTTGAACAAACTTTCTTAAGCAAGAAACCATTTGTTGCTAATCATTTCAGGGGATCAAGGCTCCAGTTGGAACAATGTTGAGAGGTGTCATTTTGTGGCTAAAAGTAGCGCAATCACCTGCTGGTTCAGCTGCTATCACAAATATTTTTCTTTCCTTGTTTTTTTTTTTCCCTATCCCTTTATCCCGATCCCTCCCACTGCTCCATCAGTCCGTTATCTCTCTCAGTGTTGTTCTTTTCTTTCCTCTGTTACAATCTGTGGGCATTAATCCTCAGTGAACAGAAGGGCAGAGATGTTTAGTGCATGAAATAGAACACAGCAAGTAATTCTTTAAAAACAAAATCACATTGACAAGACTCTCATGTGCTCCTTATAGCAAGACCACATTAGAGCTAGGGGAACTAAGGGGTTGCATAACAAGCCAGGAAAGGAAAATGTAGACGAAGTTTGGAGGTAAACTAGGCTACGGCCATTGTGTGTCAACACTAAGTCCTAGGGGGCTATCTCATGTGTCTGCAAGGTGGGAAGGTTTATTTTTCTTATTTACATGAAAAATTCATCTAATCTTCACCAAACCTTATTTTTCATTTTACTGACAGTAGAACTTGGTCCCAAAGGGATTAAAGCGTGTCCTAGGTCCAACATTAGTCAGCGAGAGAGGCAAAATGCCAACTCAGAGAGTGTGACTCTACAACTGACTTCTCAACCAGCATCTCAGGCCAGCTCCTCATAAATACCAATGTACTACTTCTTCACTCATGGGAGGAGTGCCCGCTTTAATGGAGAATTGCCCCAATCCAACTTCGATAGGGCCTTGGTAAGGTTTTGGGGATAATAAACATATCACGTTTATGTGACTGCCAGATTTGTGGATTTGAAATCATAAGCCTCGCAATTCCAAAATAATCACAATGCTATGATAGATGCAAATGAAAATTTACAGTCCAAACTCAGGCTTACCAGCTGGACCGAAATACTAAAGCTCCTCTCTGTGAATGAGAAGAGCCATGCCTGCTCTCAACAGTGTTCATAAATCTACCGTTTGCACAGATTTTTGCAAACAGTATTAATGAGGGACTTCTGGAGTGGAGCCAGGTCTTTGAAAATCCACTTCAGCCTTATGCTTTCTGTCATAAT